CCCCACCCATAGGAGCCCCAACCACAGGAGCCCCGCCCACAGGAGCCCCACCCACAGGAGCCCCACCCATAGGAGCCCCAACCACAGGACCCCCGCCCACAGGTGCCCCGCCCACAGCCCCAGCGGGGCCCAGCCTGGAGTCCTCCCAGCCCAGGTGCAGCAGGAAAGGGTGGGGCCTCAGACCTGTGGCAGAGGCAGCCCGCCCCTGCTCTGTCCTGAGCATCTAACGCACTTGCTTTCACCGCGGAGTTTGGGAGAAGGTTGTGCCGTAGCAGGAGACGAGCAGACGGGCGTTCTGTGACTTTCCCAGCTGCGGTCATGCCTTTCTCCACACGGATCTGCTGCGGACCTGTGAGCGCAGGCTTGGAACTTGGCCCAGGGTCAACCCGAGTTACCGCTTCCCTCTCGCAGGTGAGGCCAGGGGCTGGGTTAGAATCAGCACTGGCTGCGACCCTGTGCTTCAGCCAAACCGACGCACCCCGCCGGGCTCCTGGAGTCGGAGCCCTGGCCCCTGAGGGTCTCAGTGTGGGTCATGCAGGGAGGCGCAGGGGAGAGGGCACCTGGGCTAACCGACAGGCAGAGCTAAAAGTAACCGTGGCGGGTAGCTCAGTTGTCCTGATGCGCGAGGCTGTGGGTTGGGTCCCTGGTCAGAGTACAGCGGGTGCATAAATAAGTGGAACAGCGTATTGATGTCCCCCCCTTTCTCCCTCTTCCTTCCGCTCTCTCTCTCTCTCAAAAAAAAAGTCAATAAAAATAACTATGGCATTTGTTTATATTAAAATATTACATTAACATTAATTATATTATGGACTTTATTAACATTAAAATACTATATATTTAATATATGTTAAAAACAACACATGGGTCTTGCAGAAATGTTTGACAGAAAAAGCATTTCTTGTAATATCAGTGCCCAGAAAGCATATTGCCGACCCGCCGGAGTATCTCCTCCATTTCTACTCTGCAGCTTCGACCGAGCTGCAGCTCTTAGCAAACTTTCCCAATGTCTTGACGCAGAGACCAGGTGGCAGGAAGAAGCATTCCCACCAGGCGCAAGCGAGGTCGTGTTGGGGCATGTGGCCCCCTGGTCCCTGCACAGCCGCCGTCCCCTGCCGTGGCCCAGCTCCCAGCCACGCACAGAACAGCCCTGGGGGACGCACTCTGAGGGCGCAAGGCTGCGCGTCCTTCCTGCCGTTTCTTGCACAAGCAATGGCCTCTGTTAACTCACAAATAGAAGGGCCTTTAAGCGAGAGGCAGCGCACGTTTCTTGAGATCAACAAGCATAGCTACTGGGGATGCTCTGACCAGGCAGAACCGCCAATGCTGTCTGACTAGGAGGCGAAGGCGAGGGGTGTTTATGGGAAAGGGAGGGGACACTGGGCCCCTGGAAGGCGTGTCTGACGGTGCAGACTGTATGATAGTGGTGTTAATGCTAAACGAGGTTTTTAATTTTCGGTCTGGCACTCATCATCACTGCTTTCTTGTCATTGCAAACACTTCCCTAGGCTCAGTGCAAAGGCTACCTTGCCTGCTTTCACCTTCCAAGGCTGAGGCCTAAGCCACGCGAGGCACTCTCTCGGGCTGGCAGCTCTGGCTCCATCTCCAAGCGGCTCCTGGCATATGATTGGGAATCTAGGCTGAGGACGCAAAGCGGGCCACTTGCCTACGCGAACCGGGCCATCCCCACCAGCGTCAGGCTGGGTGTGGGGAGGAGATGAAGCCTTTGCTGGTGGCCTCCAGTGTCCCCTGCAGCCTGCCTCCCCCTGGGGAACACCTTCTTCTTTCCACCCAAGAACATTTGCAGTTTCCCAAGGTC